AACCAATGAAACGAAATACAACTGAAGAAATAATTCACGAATTGGACAAAAGGTGTCGCATGTGTCAACGGTATTTTAAATGATTGCTGTCAACTGTCACTTTCACCATCTATCAATCGTCGATGCACAGTGCTACACAATTTTGTGACAGGTTGCTATGCTTTGAAAAATAAATCCGTAACAACCCTGCTTAAAAGGATGCACAATGAGCCTATTAAGGTCTAAGTGCCGTGGGGTAACCCACCTTTAACACGTTACAGATACAATTACAGAAGAGGCTGATGCCAGAATACCCCCATTTCCTATGAAGCGTTACTCTATAGTACTCTATAGTACTCTATAGTACTCTATAGTACCATTCTCTAGGTAAAATGTGCGATAACGAAAAGTTATTGTTATTGGATTTGCTATTAGAAGAAATTAAGAACTAATACTGATTAGCATGTACAAATAAACTTACTTTTAAACACTTTTCACTTAATAAACTTTAGGACAGTAAATTTGTTTTTAAATTAGAAACATACAGTACCCTCTTCGGTGTAATTTATGTTCCTTCATTTTCCTTATCCAAGTTTATCTTAATGTCACCATATAACTTCTACTTTACTGTTTAAATTTATAAAATTTATAAAATTTTTAAGGTTTGTTACCAGAATGGTAACCAATAGTCCAATTAAATAGACCTTTTAATTAAAATTTTGAAGGAAATATAGGAATTTTTGATATAAGTCACTTTAGAGTATTTGAAAATGATATGTAAAAAATTGTTTTTCAGGCCCCGGTAAATGGCGAAAAACAAGAAAACAAAGTGTTTCTTTAAGGTTATTTAAAAACGGTAGGTGCTATAAAAAAAGTTTTTAATAAAAATTGTATAGCATATAAAGTTTTACATAAAAATTATATTTTTTGCAATTATTAAAACTAACAGAGTTAAGGTGGTTAGTAGTTAAATTTTAAATATTTTTATTTATTTATATTTTATTTTATTTTTTCAATGTTATTTTAATTAATTTTTATTTATTTTAATTTATTTTTACTCATTTTTAATTAATTTCATTTATTTTTACTTATATTTTTTTATTAATATAACTTTTTATTTAATTTTATTTATTTTTGTTTTTTTGTAAAAATTTCGATAAAAATATTTACTTTTTATTAAATAAATAAGGTTTCCAAAATCACAAAAAACTTTTTTAATAAATGTTCAATTTTTTCTATGTTTAATAAGATTTGTTCGTTAGGAGCCAGGGTATTCGTGCTATTTTTATAATGATTTATAGAATTTTGTATAAGTGTAATTTTTTTAGTTTTGATTTTGTTTCTGAACACGAAAAAAAATTGTAGAACAAATTTCTACAATTGTAGATTTTTTCTCTACAATAAATAGTACATATAGGGACAGGGACAATTTGTAGTAAAAATTTCCAAATGTTTGTGGAGAATGTATTGTAGAGTTATTATCTACAATATTTAGTAAAAAGATCCAAATGCATCATAAGAATTGTTCTACAAATTGTTATAATTTTTGCTATTCATTGTATGAATTTATATTAAAAATGTATTGCGTTTTATGAAAATAAATACGAAAATTTTACACAATAAATAGTAAAAATTCATACAAATTGTAGTAATTTTTAATAAAATTTGTAGTAGTATTCCATAATTATTATAATTATAACCTAGAAAAAAATGTTCCTTAATAAAATATTCAATTTATTGTTTTAATATAAAAGATACAAATTCTTAATTACATTATGTAATAAATAACAGTAATAATAGCGCCCTCAGTCTCAGTTGGCTTTTCTGCACCTGAAAAATATGAAATAAAAATTAATACCAATTGAATTGTTCATACCCTTAAAACGGGGATATTTATCACCTTTACACTGATTTGGATATTAAATGACTAAGTCAGATAACTAACAAGAATGAGAAAGTAGGTATGTCACAATTAAGACAAAAAACATTGAACTTGGCACAAAATTCGATCGTTGGGCACAACATTCGATCGTTGGCCACAACTATTTTTTTAAAATAATCTACTAAGGTTATTTAAATTAGTTATCTAAAGGTAAATTATTCAGAAACAATAATAAATGTACTTACCACCAATAGAATTTATTATTAAAATTTTCTCAAACGCATCGGTGCTTATAATATAATAATGTGTTATAGATACTCGTATATGTACCATGCTTTGTTATGTGAACATGGCGAACGGCTACTGCTGTCTGGCCGTTAATGATCGACGTCAGAAAACGTTGGCCAATAGCAGAATTCTGTTTTGATCATATGACTTAGAATTTCTACAATATTTTTGAAGAAGGGATTACTATTTTTTGTAGAGAAAATCACTATTTTTTGTAGAGATAATTATTAATATTTGTACTTATTTATACAGAAGTTAGTAGTAGTAATTACGATAATTGTAATAAATTTCTACTTCTACAAACAATAGTAAAATATACACGGAAAAAAATGTGACTAGAAAATTTTACTACAATGTTGTAGTAGTAGACTTGTAGAAAAATACTTAACAATTTGTAGAAAATTTTACTACAATTTATAGTTAAAAACTATTAATTATTGTAGCAATTGAATTGTCGAATAAAATGCTACAACAATAGGAAAGAAGTCCACAATGTTTAGTATATTTTACTATTGTTTGTAGAAGCAGAAATTTATCACAATTATCGTAATTACCACTACTAACTTCTGTAAAAATTTGTACAAATATTAATAATTATCTCTACAAAAAATAGTAATTTTCTCTACAAAAAATAGCAATACTTTACATCCCTTCTTCAAAAATATTCTATAATATTGTAGAAATTCTAAGTCATGTGAACAAAACAGAATTCTGCTATTGGCCAACGTTTTCTGACGTCGATCATAAACGGCCAGACAGCAGTAGCCGTTCGCCATGTTCACATAACAAAGCATGGTACATATTATACGAGTACCTATAACACATTATTATATTATAAGCACCGATGCGTTTGAGAAAATTTTAATAATAAATTCTATTGGTGATAAGTACATTTATTATTGTTTCTGAATAATTTACCATTAGATAACTAATTTAAATAACCTTAGTAGATTATTTTAAAAAAATAGTTGTGGCCAACGATCGAATGTTGTGCCCAACGATCGAATTTTGTGCCAAGTTCAATGATGTTTTTTGTCTTAATTGTGACATACCTACTTTCTCATTTTTGTTAGTTATCTGACTTAGTCATTTAATATCCAAATCAGTGTAAAGGTGATAAATATCCCCGTTTTAAGGGTATGAACAATTCAATTGGTATTAATTTTTATTTCATATTTTTCAGGTGCAGAAAAGCCAACTGAGACTGAGGGCGCTATTATTACTGTTATTTATTACATAATGTAATTAAGAATTTGTATCTTTTATATTAAAACAATAAATTGAATATTTTATTAAGGAACATTTTTTTCTAGGTTATAATTATAATAATTATGGAATACTACTACAAATTTTATTAAAAATTACTACAATTTGTATGAATTTTTACTATTTATTGTGTAAAATTTTTGTATTTATTTTCATAAAACGCAATACATTTTTAATATAAATTCATACAATGAATAGCAAAAATTATAACAATTTGTAGAACAATTCTTATGATGCATTTGGATATTTTTACTAAATATTGTAGATAATAACTCTACAATACATTCTCCACAAATATTTGGAAATTTTTACTACAAATTGTCCCTGTCCCTATATGTACTATTTATTGTAGAGAAAAAATCTATAAGTGTAGAAATTTGTTCTACAATTTTTTTTCCGTGTACTAAACATTGTGGACTTCTTTCCTATTGTTGTAGCATTTTATTCGACAATTCAATTGCTACAATAATTAATAGTTTTTAACTATAAATTGTAGTAAAATTTTCTACAAATTGTTAAGTATTTTTCTACAAGTCTACTACTACAACATTGTAGTAACATTTTCTAGTCACATTTTTTTCCGTGAAGGTAGTGCTTTGCTTTATCATACTTTTCAGCATGCCAAAAAACAATAAAACAATAAAAAAAACAGCATCATCTGGATCTAAATTTCCTGTTAAGTTAATAATTGAGACAAGTCCCTTTAATAATCCTCTTTTGTTTCTATTGTGATTTAATGGATTTAATTGATTACTTGTTTTTTGTTCTAAATTTTTTATTAGATTACAAGCATTTTGAAATTCATCAATTGGATTGGAATTTGTAGTATTTCGGTATATTATTGTTGTAAATTTCTAAAATTTTCTTTGTTTCAAACTCTTTAACTACATCTGAAATATAAAAGATTTGGATAAATCACCAAAAATCTATTTTATTTTGAGCATTACCTAATTTGTAGGACAAAAGGACAGGGTTATTATTAAGGTTATGGAATTTGGTGGATGGAGGTGGATGGATAACCTGTAACAAGTGGAGGTTGTTTTAATTCTTTTATATTGATTATTTATTTTTTGTTTTTATTTCGTTTTTCGGTAATTTCTACTTTATTTCTATTTAAGAGATTATTTAAACATGTTCTTTCTTTGTACCTATTTGTGTAATATAATGCACCGAATGCAACATTTTAAGGACTCTAATCTGATCTTAAGACTGTACGTATAGTAATCAATATATACTTTGTTGTTCCATTTTTATTTTATTGAATGCTATAGTTTTAGATTGGACCAAATAATTTTTTTCCTAATTTCATTTCTTTCTCCTAATTTTCATTTTTTTACTTAGTTAAACATTGAATATTTTGTAGGTCAAACTTTTTCCGCAAAACGAGATATATTTAAATTCGTATAGTAAACATTAGTCCCGTTGACCGGGTCTTAATTGTATTAAAAATTAACAAAATACTTGACTTTATATCTATTTTATTATACAAATTAAACAAAACTAAACAACCTATACTAGCAAGATAAAGTATTATGTCAACATCACTTTTTAAATTTCTTTTAACGAACTTGTTTCTTTGTTGCAGGCGCATGTTTCCCACGGTGAGAGTTTCCTTCACTGGCATTCGACCAGACCAAAAGTACGCCGTACTGTTAGACATAGTTCCTGTAGATAATAAGAGATATCGGTACGCTTATCACCGCTCGTCCTGGTTGGTGGCAGGAAAAGCGGATCCTCCTGCGCCGTGCAGGATATGCTCTCATCCTGATTCACCTTTTTCCGGCGAACAGCTGAGGAAACAAGTGGTGTCCTTCGAGAAGATCAAGTTAACCAATAATGAGATGGACAAACATGGACATGTAAGTTACTTGAAAGTAAATTTGGTATTTAGCGTTTTTACAGAATATTTTCTTTTTATTGTGATATGCTCTTTGGTATACAGTGAGTTACAAAATGGAAGTGTTAAATTTTCAAAATCCAAATCCATCACAAAACAGATACTGAATAGAAAGCTTTTTGCCTAGAGTCCAATTAAGGCATTTAAAAAAATACAAATCGTGTCAGGGTAGGGGGCAAAGAAAAACGATAGTAAGGAACATAAAAACTACACAAAAAAATACTTTCTCTTGTCTAGAATACCAACAGTTCTGAAAAAGGTTTGGAAAGAGCGAAATTGAATTGTCGTAGTAAGTTATGTGCCAGGTTTAGAAGTCGTCTTCATAGGATCTAAGACAATATTAGCAAGAGCGGTAGTTTTTGAAGTAGATAGAATATTTTACTTAACAATACGCTTGATATAGACTAGAATGAGAACACTTGGTGTAGTATATTGGATTGTTTGGGCATTGTAAAGTGGATTACTTTTCTGCAAGCATAGCTATTTAGGCTATATTATTTATAAGTGATATTTTTTTTATTTTATTTTGTAATCTAAACTGCTGGCCACTCAAACTTACACGGAGATTTTTAGGCAAAATTTAAAGTTCAATATGTAAATTTTATAACGCGCCTTGCAGATTTTTCGGATTAAGCTGCACGACCTATATTTATCGTAGGACGATAGGTTTATTATATAAGGGGTGATCAATGAAGTTATGCAAAAAATCAAAAGGTTTGTATAAGTGAAATTTCAGCAAAAAATGTCTTGTACCCACTACATCTTGATATTGGATTGATGATTCTTGATGATTTTTACGGATTTGGAATCTTTATTTCACGTGATTTTCTATGATCTAAGCATTTTATTTGAGGATTAAAATTTACACATTATACCGGGTTCATAATATAAAAAAACCTAGCGACAAGAACAAGTTTATTACATTATATTCTACAATATACAAGATTGGTTAACAACTGCCTAAAGTAAATTCTTACAAAATTTCTAATTCTAAACCTAATTTAAAGGTTCTTAGAATCCTTAAAAAAATACGGTGTAGTTTAATAACAAAGATTAGGTATGCATGGATGAGGATATCTAGTCCCAGCTAACATTTATAGTTCCGAAGACGTAACCGTTACCAACCTAGTAACTACAAAGGTTACGGCGACCATCCACCGCTACCACCTAGTTACTAAGTTGCTATGTAATAGTTACCAAAGTGGGGAATGATTTTCAGGTAACCAAGTATAGTTCCAGACTGTTATTGGAACTTCAAGCGCCACTATTATTAAAGTCACAAAGTAGTGGCAGCCTGGTTATCGCTACGTAACAGCATAGTAACTGCTTCATCTCTATTGAACGTGGGCGTGTCCTGACTCTCTCGTTCTAATATGTATGAATTTAATTTTTATTTAAAAAAAGAGAAACTAATATTTTTTTTTGTCCTCTAGCTCGACGTTTTACATTCCGACATCGATTTGGTACAGTATCCACAAGATTATTTATTTAATCTTGTGAAATATTCTCCCATTCTTCACGAATGGCCTCATTAAGCGTTTCTAAGGTTTCAGGGAGTACAACACGCGATCTAATTTAAGTTTTAAATACCACCAAACGTGTTCGATGACATTAAGATCCGGAGACTTTACAAGCCAGTCCATCCTATTGATGTTCTGTACCTCCAAAAACTTTGTGATCCTTCGCTCTCTGTGAAGTCTAGCGTTGTCATCTACCAATAGAAATTCTGGGCCGTAATTTCGAGCAAAAGATACAACAGTAGGTTCCAAAATTTCCTCCTGATAAACAGTAGCGTTAATAGTTTGGTTAGTAATAAATAGTTCGATTTTACCATTTCTTATGATACCTCCCCACACTGTAAAAGCTCCGCCACCAAATGCCTCTAAAGGGGTCATATTTTCCTCCAAATACCGCTGATTTGGCCCTCTACAAACTAACATTCGGCTATCGGAGTGAATCAAATTAAATCTTGTTTCGTCAGTAAATAAACAATGGCTCCACTCTGCATTACCCCAATTCTCATGCCGATTTGCCCATGCCTGCCTATTCTCTTTATAGTGTTGTATTAAGCGCACACATTTTGTTTTGCGACGGGCTCTATAATTTAAATTGTTTGGCATTATATTGGTTTTGAAAAAAAATTCTTTCTAGAGTTCTTTGTTCTATTCTGCATAGTTTCTCTCATTAAAATTCTTTCGATTCTTTGGTTTATTTTTTTGTATGTCCAACCCCATGCCCATAATAATGATCACCAGTAGTTTCGACGGTTTAAATTATAAATTGTCTTTCGGCTGACATTGTAAACGTGCGAAATTTGCTTTCTTTACAACTTCGTTAAGAAGTCAAATGCAATTTTTCCTTTCTGCCGCGGTTAAACGCCTCATACACGGAAAAAAAATTGTAGAACAAATTTCTACAATTGTAGATTTTTTCTACAATAAATAGTACATATAGGGACAGGGACAATTTGTAGTAAAAATTTCCAAATATTTGTGGAGAATGTATTGTAAAGTTATTATCTACAATATTTAGTAAAAATATCCAAATGCATCATAAGAATTGTTCTACAAATTGTTATAATTTTTGCTATTCATTGTATGAATTTATATTAAAAATGTATTGCGTTTTATGAAAATAAATACGAAAATTTTACACAATAAATAGTAAAAATTCATACAAATTGTAGTAATTTTTAATAAAATTTGTAGTAGTATTCCATAATTATTATAATTATAACCTAGAAAAAAATGTTCCTTAATAAAATATTCAATTTATTGTTTTAATATAAAAGATACAAATTCTTAATTACATTATGTAATAAATAACAGTAATAATAGCGCCCTCAGTCTCAGTTGGCTTTTCTGCACCTGAAAAATATGAAATAAAAATTAATACCAATTGAACTGTTCATACCCTTAAAACGGGGATATTTATCACCTTTACACTGATTTGGATATTAAATGACTAAGTCAGATAACTAACAAAATTAAGACAAAAAAATATCATTAAACTTGGCACAAAATTCGATCGTTGGGCACAACATTCGATCGTTGGCCACAACTATTCTTTTAAAATAATCTACTAAGGTTATTTAAATTAGTTATCTAAAGGTAAATTATTCAGAAACAATAATAAATGTACTTACCACCAATAGAATTTATTATTAAAATTTTCTCAAACGCATCGGTGCTTATAATATAATAATGTGTTATAGGTACTCGTATATGTACCATGCTTTGTTATGTGAACATGGCGAACGGCTACTGCTGTCTGGCCGTTTATGATCGACGTCAGAAAACGTTGGCCAATAGCAGAATTCTGTTTTGTTCACATGACTTAGAATTTCTACAATATTATAGAATATTTTTGAAGAAGGGATGTAAAGTATTACTATTTTTTGTAGAGAAAATTACTATTTTTTGTAGAGATAATTATTAATATTTGTACAAATTTTTACAGAAGTTAGTAGTAGTAATTACGATAATTGTAATAAATTTCTACTTCTACAAACAATAGTAAAATATACTAAACATTGTGGACTTCTTTCCTATTGTTGTAGCATTTTATTCGACAATTCAATTGCTACAATAATTAATAGTTTTTAACTATAAATTGTAGTAAAATTTTCTACAAATTGTTAAGTATTTTTCTACAAGTCTACTACTACAACATTGTAGTAAAATTTCTAGTCACATTTTTTTTCGTGTATTAATTGAAATTTAAAAAATTATAACATTGAAATGTGTCAGATTATTTCTGAAATAATGTTAACAGTTTTTAATTCCATAGCAGCAAATTTGTTTTTCCATTGCCTACTTTGAAATTGACGCGTCGCGTAGAAATTACAGCCGATCATAAATATGGATGGGGGGGTTGACAAAACTGAATGACTCTTTGAGACAACAAACTGGGGCGAGAGTTTGAACAGAACAGTGAGAAGGAAATTAAATAAAAACAACTTGAGGTAACTATTTTTACAAAAACTTAAATAATGCCAAATCTTAGAGCGCGGCGTACGCTACGTTTTTGTCTATTATCGACTTGGTATAGTGTAGAAATTTCAAATCTCAAATAAAAAGGCTAGATCACAGAAAATCCACGTGAGATAGTGATTCCAAATCTGCAAAAATCATCAAGAACCGTCAATTCAATGTCAAGTTATAAAATTTTAAAAATTTTGCTTCCCGAACTTTATGTTTAGTAGTGTGTATAAGACCTTAGGGTCTTAATCCATAAGCTGACAAAATACCTAGAGATATTGATGTTACCTTAGCAACGAACCATATTGCAACGACCAAAAACATTTTTTTGCAGAAATTTCACCCATACAAAATTTTTGCATGACTTCATTAATCCGTATATAATATATAATCATATGGTCCTACGATAAATAAACGTCATGCAGCTTAATCCGAAAAAAACTAGATCTTAAAATCTGCAAGGCTTGTTCAAAAATTTGCATTCCTGATGAAAATATTGAACTTTAAATTATGCCTAAATCTCTATGTGTAAGTTCGAATGGCCAGCAGTTCTTTTCGAATCATCTAATATATACCTTTTCTCCACGGCCACTACTGAATGTAGTTCTTTCAAAACCATTATAATAACAGAAAGAAAAAGAAAACATTCTCGTTCTTGAGATTAAAAGAAAATTCTGAAATACTATTATGTATTTTATACGTGTTTCATTCCAACTCCAGTGAGAGTGTTCATTCTGTAATAGCAACTGGTCAATGGCTGTGAATATCATAGCCATGAATTTCATGACTGACAGTTCTACGCGACGTATTATTCTTTTCATTTTAAATTTGCATGAATGAAGATGAGCGTCATTTGTTGAGAAGCACTTGGGTGCGATTTTGATAGGGAATTTTAATACCCCTCATGAACTGACAAATTATACAAATGATTTAAGTAAAAACTTGCCTAACATAAGTTAGATAAAATATTTTATTTTGTTCATTTTAATATAGTCAATTCCTGCTGTGGCCGTGCAGAAAGTACAGTCTGTTACTCTGTTGGAATGAAAATCCGAGACTCGTATCGAATTTTCATTCCAACCTTGTTACAGAATATACTATTAGAGTATGTTTAAGTATTTTAAATGATAAATTAACCAAGGATAGAACATCATTAAGTTTAAAAAAATGAAGTTGTATTACTGGCGTTTCCAACTGATTAAAATTTATCATATTATGTTTTATACAATACATGAAATGCAGCATATAATGGAAAGATAGATTTAAAATAAAATCATACTCTATTTAATCAATATCATTAAAAAGCTATTTTGTTGTTTTTTTATTAATAATGTTAAGCATTTTTTTATAATTCGTATTTTCCTTTTACTATGATCATCTTTTTACCTGCGTTACAATATTATTTTTTTTCCAGTTAGTCCTCAATTCTATGCATAAATATCAACCTAGGATCCATTTGGTGAAGAGAGGAGAAGGAGTGACTGGGCCGGTAACGGATTTAGAAAACGAAGAATATAAAACTTTCATTTTTCCTGAAACTATATTCACCGCAGTTACAGCATATCAAAACCAGTTGGTAAGTTTAAAAATTTGGTAAATGCAGTCTATTAGTTTCATGTAATGTTAACAATGATTAAACGCATATCTAAACATAAGCACCAACTTATTTGAAAAAACTATATTTTTAAAGTAGGCCATGATCGACAAGGACAGAGATACTATAGTTATTTCCGTGATAACTACGCTCGGTTCTGAATTAAATCCAAACTGACACTTAAAAGACCGACGTGAATTTTTCTTTAGAATTTTGTTGATCACTCCTTATAACAAACATGTATACCATCGTCTTGGCTTAGAAAGACTAAAATGCTTTGCACTTTTAGGCAAACCTTTTGTTCTTTTTTTTTGCTCTAGGTTTCTGTTTTATTTGAATCTAAAGTTAGTCAATCTTTAAATGTTCTTAAATAACATAGAAAAATTTAGAGACTCATTGAGAACATCTACAATGTATTAGGTACAAATAATGGGTGGGGTTTTCTGGCTTTTCCTCACCTGTAAACCATCAGTCGCCCCGGCTACACAAATAATAATAGTCGTCCCTTCCGCACAAAAGTGGCTTCTGGGGTTAACATTCACTTGTAAGGGGGTGAATTATAGGAAGAGTATTATTAATAAAATTGTTTGGGAAAAAAGAAAATTTTGACAATGTTTTCAAATGTAATTTAATAAAAAAAAACAAAATATATATACAGTGATGGGCAAATGTGTGAAACCAAGTAAATATCTCTGGAATTGTTAGAGATATCGAAATGAAAATTGGAAGGTAGGTATTACATTAAATTGCCTATTTGATTTATTTTTTTTTAACAATTTTGAATAAAGTATTTTATTACGAATTCAAAAATATCGGGTTCGAAATTAAAATAATATACAGGGTGTGTTTCCTTAAAAAATTTAAAATCGATATTACTTCCGGTTAAACCGGAAGTTCAAAATTGTTAAAAAAAAAAATCAAATCAAATAGGCAATTTAATGTAATACCTACCTTCCAATTTTCATTTCGATATCTCTAACAATTCCAGAGATATTTACTTGGTTCCACACATTTGCCCATCACTGTATATAGCAAATATAATGACATTTTCGGTAAAACCTTAAATATAACTATCAATTTGAAATTATGTCTAGTGGATTGGTCTCAATATATATAGCATCCACTGTTTATATTCATCTTTGTCGGTTACAAGCAGGTTAGATTTGGCCCAAAATACTGCGGCCTCTTGGGTCCATTGTATTCCCCTGCTACCCCGTATTCAAGTACTATTTTTAGAACAGTTCTTTGACTTCGGTTAATTTCAGTTCCCTACCTAGTGAGAGCAAGAGCTTCGCATTCGAAGGTATCATGGTATGAGGTATCTTCCTCGTCCATGCAGACGTGATGGGATTATTGTGCAATTCCATCACGTGCAGGTGTGTCAGTAAGCAATGCCTCGTTAGTGATCCTACAATGGTGAATACCTGAGGCCTTGCGAGTTGTAGTACCTTAGTAACCATGCGTGGGTTTGGTCCCCTTAGCATGAGTTTACTGATTCTGTTCCCTCTTATCTATTGTCAAAAAATTTGGTGTTTCGTGTTATCCACCTGTTCACTGGCTGTTGGGCAAAGGTTTTGCTTATCCCAAATACATGTTCGGGTCCTCTTTGGCAAATTCATCAGCCTTTTGATTTCCTTGAATGCCTTTTTGTCCAGATGCTCACGCTAGTTTTACCTTACTGTGGGTTGCCAGATCATTTAGTATTCCAAGGTAGTTTTAGACCAGGTTTGACTTGATTCTGATTAAACCAAGGACCTTTAAGACTTCTTGGCTATCTGAAAGAATTAAGATGGATTGTTTTTTGTACTTTCTTCTTAAATTTTTCCTTAAGCTATTGGGAAGGCGCGACCCGAGACCGACTTTAAGCGTAAAACGACAGTAAGGGATACCGAATGGGTCTCTTCACGTCTGAACACATGTAATTATATGAAACACATTTGGGAAGACACGACAGATGACAGCAGTTTTAGCACTGTAGAATTTGCTGCTTGCTGCCTGTTGTCTATCGTCTACCTTGTCGCGCTGTTCCAAATGGTATTTTAACCAGAGCCTCTTCCCATTTTAGTTTTAGATCTATCTGCTTACCATACGGGACCGCTAAGCAAGTATTTTTCTACCTCCTTCCAGCATCTACTCTTGCAATTAGCATTTTTAAATTCTAACTTGAACTTCTTTAAATAGATTTTTAATAAAACGGTTTAGGACAGTATTTATTTTTTAAGCATTCACCATTAATTTTAAGAGAAATATACTTTGAAATGCAAACAATTGCTCACGAAAGTTTTAAAACTTTTTTCTCTGACAGAATTGTTTTCTTAAAATTTTCAAACCATTCGTTAGTAAGTTTTACCGAAAATTGTATAACATAGAGGTCCTCTCTCTTTTGGAGACCCCAAGGCTTCAGCCTCTGTAGCTCTATCTTAAATTCGGCTCTAATTAATCACATATCTACAGTATATTTTTTTTGTGTCATGGGCTTCAACTGCTAAGGTTATTTCGCCTCGTGTTCTGTGTAGGCTTTGTAACTGTTTCCCAGCGCCACTTTAGAAACAGCACTGTTAATTAAAACCCAACAGTGAATGGTCGAGTGGGGAATCCTACCAAGGCATCAGAATTAATTTTAAATAATTAAATTAAATGAAAAAATTCCGGCCAACAACGGTGGGATTCGAACCTAGGACCCTTGAATCCGCAGGCAGAGATTCTACCACTGAGCGACCCACAAAGCACATAGAGGTTCCACGTGAATGACCAAGGTCAAAACCGACAACTGACATTTTTTATGCTATTTGCTCCAAACTCTAGATGGGGCTACTGGTGAAATTATGATTTCTTACTCCATTTTTAAGCTATATGGGAGAAAAACTTAACCAAAGACTCCAAAGATGTGACGTGTATTTATTTATGTTTTTGGTTAGTCTCATTTTTCCGTCTGATTTTAGTGATTTTTTGTTGGTTTTGGCTTTTGGTTTCTGTTTATACTTTCGTCTTAGTTATTTGCAAAATTGTGATGTTTCGCTTTTCTATTTCCTACTGTGTTTGGCAATAATTTTGGTGCTACGTTGAAAACTTCGAGAAAAACTTCATTGATTCACCATGCATCTGCATCATAAAAAGACAAAGGGTACAACAACTAATTGATAATCAATTTATCACTGGTCTAGATTCCGAAATCATTTTTCACATAAGAGAGTAATACCACCATCTGTATTTGGAAGGAAAATACCTATTTATCATTGAATGAATAGTTAAAAGGATTCACCTTTTAATACAATACCTATATTACATTTGTCCTCGGTTAAAAAGACATTTATAAAATATATTACCTACTTTAGTGTTAATAAAATGTAATATCCTAGTCTCTACTTCACATTTAAACTATTGATAGGTATTTTAAAGATTTGAGATTGTATACCTTTGCTCCAAGTAAGTATTCGTTAAATATGTATTATTATTTGTATTTATTTTTATCTAATAATATTTAAGTTATTAATAAACATATTTTAAGAATGTTCTATTTTTTTTATTTATTGATATATCTTATAATTATTTAATAATAATATGCAGAACCAACTCTCCACATCAGGCTCCTTATAACAAATTAATTCCTCAAATTTGGTATAATCGACCTAAATTATTTTGTAAAATAAAAGTTTCGAACTTACTAGTTCCATACTTTATTTTATAAAATAATTTATGTGGAAATCATTTAATTTAAAACTACTACCTACTCCTAAAAATTACAATTTGAATTTACCGCCATCTGTCAATTGTCATTTTAGTTCCAGCTCTAAACAGAAGGTGGCGCTAATTTGGTTTAAAAGTTTACATTAGCGTGGGGTCTCTAGAAGATACGTGCTTTTTGGAGCGACCCACCCCATTACAGTATGTTAATTTAAGAATCCCGAGAAATAAAGATGATACGCTTAATTATATTTAAACGTAAGAAAAATAAGGCGAGACGCTCTTTCAATAACAAGGTAGGGACACTGCTGTCCCCAGTCAGTGATCATAACCCAGTGTTGCCGTTCGTAGCGACTTGTCGCGAAAATAGCGACATTTTAATGGTTTATAAGAGTAGCGGCGATTTAGTCTAAATTAGCTAAAAATAGCGACTTTTTGATCCTTAATACGTTAAGTACCAATGTAATAAAAAAAACAAAACGCTATTAGTTGTATAGACGATTTCAATCGTCGCCATGATGTTGCGCATCCAAAGTTTAAGTCTAAGGGAATAGTAGTAGAGCCATGGTGGGGCTCCAGGGCAAAACACTGGCAACTTTTGATAACTTTAGGTCCTTTCTTTGTAAAATTTCTAATAAAAAAAAGTCCTTAGCTTGTAATTTTCGTAAACCATGTCCTCCTTTTTCTAACGAGAAAGGTCCTTTCTCTTCAATACATCCTACATCTACCCCCTCCCCCCTCTCGTCGGGCCTGGCAATAATAAAGTTTAAGTCTGGGGGGGGGGTAGTGGTAATATTTTAGACTATTTTTGATATTATTAGGTTTTAATAACTATGAAAAGTTAAGTTTAAAAATTCTTAAGGGTTACTTACCGCCATTACTCGCCTCCCTATATATGCGCCCCTGTGATGTGGTTGCAACGACCTGCTAATCACCATCTGTCGAAGAAATCAGTTGTCTGCAAAAAAAATTAATTCTGTAACTATAAGTAAATTGAACATTCCAAAAAAATACATTTTACAATTTTACACATATTTAATGCAAAACTATTGAATCTGTTCACGAATCAGATTCATGCTGAATATGTTTTAAGTTCTTTAAAAAATGTTTATTATTAGTTTTTTAGTCAATACAGCCCACACTTTAGTGTATGTTTGATTGCATATTTCAACCATCATTATGTAGTGACAAAATAGCGACTTTAGGCGAACAAAACAGCAACACTGATCATAGCATAGCATAGCACAAATTTCAGTACTCCACAAACTGTTTTGAGGTGTACGTCGCTTGTTATTTAA